TCCAAAATATTATGGGATTACGACGCAAGATAATCAGTATTCCAACCCCACCTAATTAATCCTTCCTAATCGAAAACGTATTCCAGAATTTTGGCCAACATTTCATGAGATCGGTCACTCACTGTACATAAGGAGCGCGGAGGGGGACTTTGCTGTCTAAAGTGTAGATATCAGAGAATAAGACGACGGCTGTTTTTTGGCCTAATTCCAGCTCTTTATCGGTGACCGTGGTCTTTTTTTTATTAACAGGAAGGTTGAGGCGTTTTAACCAGTCGGTCGGTTATTTCCCATGGTGGAAATGCAGTAAATTCACCGTCCTGCCCTCGCATCCACAATTTTCCCTCCCTCTAACGTAGTTTTTCTTAACTATCCACAAAACCCGCGAGGGCGGAGGGAGGAGAGGTGGACATCTACGCACTTGTGAACTTTCAACGGTGAGCGCGAGTCGGTCCGGCCAAAGAGATGAAGGCGGCGGCGGCGGCGGCGCAGCCTGTAGTCGTGTGCGCGCAGCCAAAATCAACGGCCAACTTACCAAGCGTGCCAGTACGCGGGTGACGCGCAAACCCGTCACGCGGTCGCATTAGCGCTAACATCAGGATGCCAGAACGCGTGCGCGCGCGCACGCAGTCCCCATCTATCGATTACGCTCAGAAAGCGCTGACTGCGCTACACCGTGGAAGCGAACGGCTGAGAGATGATTAGGCATCACAACAGAAGCCATCCGCCAAAAGGACTCTCGCGCAGGGCAGCTGAGCTCGTTATCATTAGTTACCCAGCTGACAGCAGTGAGCGACGGGCTTTGGCGGCTTGCCCAAACCAGCCAGTCGGGTAGCTCACCTGTCGCAGTTGGACTGTCAGGGGGAGATCGATGCACCTTACTTTTCCGCACTGTCGTTCAACAACATCCCGCGCTTAACGCTTACCTTTGTTTAGCTGGGTTGTCAAGGCAACCGAGCTTGTTACGACAGCCAGCAGGAATTTTACCCGTTTTTTTTCACTGTCTGTTTTTCCCCATTACAACATCGGTGAGGCATATTGCAGGAAATCACCTGAAGAACGAAAAAATCCAATAAAAAAGCTGAGGCCTGACGCAACGATTAGTTTGTCGTTATTCGTGTGCGCTATGAAAATGTAACAAGTGGATGAGTCGGTAAAGTTTTGTTAATTAGCACTTCAAAACTCTCCGGAAACACTATGCATCAAGAATAGGTAGTTTTTTCGATAGGATTTATTGTTTGATGAAATGACTTGAAATGAGACGACACTTTTCAGGTAGAACTGTGGTCTACTTTGTAAAAGGTAATTCAAAAAAGGGTCGAAGGAACCCAAGCAGGGACCAAGCTAGCATGGTGAACACCTGCCAAGAGTCAGTGATTTTGGTAAGCAAAATCGATCGGTTAGTAGTTAATCCTCGTAGTAAACCACGCAAATAAGTCAGGGACACACGACAGGCCGACCGTCGATTCTATGTCCACCTCGTGCCTCACAGCATGGTGGGCGTGGTGACGGTGACTGGCGCATGAATTAGGTGATAGTGATAGTGGGCTTGCGCTGCCTCCCCCGCACTCTTTCTTCCCTCGACCACACGGATCTGGTGTCAAAACAGATTCAAGAGGACCAGAAGTGAGATCGAGCACAGGTGGCTAGCGCGGCGTGGGCTTGCGTCTAAGCGTACCACCGCAACCTATATAGGACACTAGTGATGGGTGCACATCCTTTATAACGCCTGCCGTGCCCTGATCTACCCCGCCCGTGTTGGTCCAGTGCATCCACGGTTTGACCTGTTTCAGGGGCACAAGGTACCCACACGGGACGGATCACGTGCAAAAGACAAGTCTGATGTGAAAAGGGGAATACCGAGCTTTACTCTGACGCGATTGGATGAAAATAGAGCAGACCGGAAACAATTAGACAGAATGTTTGTGAAATAACGTGACCATAAAAAGCTCACATCCCAGCCAGAGGTTGGAAGAAGGCGTTTTCGGATAGAATAATTTTCACAAGGTAGTTTTTGTCATCCTGATTACGGGACTCATTATAGTGGAATGTTCAAGGCGTGGATACAAGATCGTTGAAAGCAATGATGTGTTCTGCGACAGGGTGGTGGAACACAACCGTTGGATTACTTTGTGATGAGTCGTACACAGTTGTTCTCTTGTCCACTATTTTTGCCGAAAAAATTTCGGCTAAGGGTAACGTCTTCGGTAGAGAAAGGACTTCAACTGGCAAACTGACGGAAGATGTTGGTGGATGGTCAGACGTAAAAAGCTCGGGAAATCACTGCTCTGTCGAAAGCGCGAGTAATTGTGGTGAAAAAGTCCCAACCATAGACATAATTTCAGTTTCGGTTGAAGGACCATAAAAACACTACGGCGAGGTTTGGTCCTGCAGCCCCGTATGAATGATATCGTATGGTAAGCGTTCTAAAAAAATTTTAGTAGATGCGAATATACCGACTTTACAAGTAGCGCGTATTTGCATCCTCCTTACCATTTTTACCCATCACATGACTGTGCCATGGGCGGAGAAGTACTTATACGCCAGCCTCAGTTACTTCAGTTAACAGTTCACGCACGCTTCCCTCCGCGTAGTTGGAGCCCTGCTTGCGCTCACTTCATTATCCTAATCCAGCGAGTGGCCAGGTAAACTCGCTAACGGAATTGTTCCGACGGTGCGGAACTCCGTCGGCTCCACTACAGTGGCCATACACTGCAAATTACCACGCAGTACCCTCAGTGGCCTTCCAGTTGTGATTGCAACCCCATATCCTTTAATTCAGCGAGAGGCTGTGTCGGGGGGGGGGTTGTACACGCCACCTTCGTTACCTTCCCTGCGTGTGCTTCGAGCTCTGTTTGCGCTCGCTTGCCCTTCCTAATCCAGTGAGTGGCTAAGTTAGGTATGAATGAAGGCGAAATTTCGAGTTCCAGGTGTAAGCATAAAAGAAGAAGAAGAGTCGAGCAGCGGAGCACTTTGTTTATTGTCCTGAGCTTTCAGACTCGTATAGGAGTCCATCGTCAGAGGTAGTAGCGGCAACAGAATAAGCGACAGTTATAAGGCATAAAGGTCAATCATCGACCGACGACGCAAGATTGAAGGTGATTACGCAGGCCTCTGTACGCCGGCGCTAGATCGATAAATCGATTGACCGAGTTCTCATCCGAGTCTGAAAGGGCAGGACAATAAACAAAGTGTTCCGGTGTTCCGGTATGTTAACTAAAATTGTTTTGGTAAGCTAACTATACAGTATCAATCAAGTGGGGTTGCAGAAAAAAATCTCGCCAACGCTACGGCACAGAAGTATCCAGGCGAAATACGGTACAATTGAGAAAATTCAAGACATTAACAAATACCCTCAGGTCGGACTGGATCTGATTGCAGAAAGTCAACATACAAGTGCAATGCAAAGGACGACGATTGTACCCCTTTCTAGGGGCACTGTGGGCACCAACAGTGGTAAGTGTTCCCTGTGAACTTCTTCATCGTAACAACCGTCTGGCGTGAACCAACTGGAAACTCCAGAAACTTGGGAGTTGGCGGCACACCAGCTGCGTGTTCATCTGCCTCAGCAAATACTAAGTTCAGTTATAAGAGCAACCGGGGCGTGAAGCGCAGGAACGAGGGCGCATCCGTGCCCACCCCTGATCATCTTGGTATTGTCCTTCGGACGAGCTCAGGAGGGTGAGGAGGAAGGAAAGAGTGCGGTAGTTACTGGGCAGAATCGACCCATTTTAAACTAATTCTCGACTCAATTACCTCGCTGCTGCGTCCACTCCGTGGACGTTATCGCTTATCTCTCGTCGTCGTTAGTGAACCAAACCCCATCTACTTTTTGCGAAGCCGCCACTGACGCTGGAGACAGTTGAATCAAAGGCTTTTTGAGATTCCTGTCAGCGTAAATACAACCGTCTAAGATGTAGCAATCCGAGAGCAGGGGATTTGCTGTGGGTAATGCGCTATTGGATTTTTTTGACTTTCTACTATTGGATTGTGTTAATGGTTCTGCCAACCTGTAGTCTGCAACACGGTAAAGCAGGTAGTGGGGGAGGGGGACGTTGGGCGAACCGGTATGACTGCCGGACCGAGTGCGGGTTTTACGGCCTGGCTAGAGCAACCTTCGCAGTTCTCTTCCTGTTGCCATGGCAGGAAAACTCCTCACGCGCGTAAATTATTTGGTGGTGGTGGTGGCGGTGGCGCAGACTTGCACAGCGCCTGCCACACCCGCCCCGCCATACCCCCTCCCTCGACCAGGCTCCAGTGGCAAGACGAGCTCATGACGACCAGATGTGGACTCCGGTGCAGTTGCTGACAAAAGTAAACAAGTCGTTTACATGTTCCACCTACGATCTGGTTCCCACAGCATGTACTAGGTTTTCATGAGAACCGCGCAGATCTCACATGCATACGGATGCCACAAAAGTCGCAGTGACGGATCGGAGATTTTTTTCAGAACTTTTGTGGGGCTTTTCCAAGTCCTCCAACGAGGCAGTGTTAATAAATACTCAGAGAAATATGATGCACTGCTGAACCTGCCACTAATTTACACCACAATCACATCGCCGAACAGAAAATGGTTATGGTAAGAGACAAAACAGAGATTTTCGTTGTAACTAAATCAAAGAACATACGACGGATTTGTAAATATGGTTTACAAGACGCCTGAGCGGGTAACCCAAGGACTACTGCCCTCGTATATTTACCAGGAACCGACTCGCAGCCGAGGATGACACTTAATATCGGTGAATTCTCTTACAGCTGCACAGGACTAAAGACCAATAAACTGCGGCTATTCGGCAGCTCGACTGTACTGCCTGTGCCATGATTTATGTTTGCCCCAGTGACCATGACATACGTCGGCTCAAGGTCCCTGATCTAAAAACCACTGGTTTTGAGGCCAGGCTGTCGGGTCTCGAAGGCGGTGGAGAACAGAGTTATCAAGCGAAAAATTAGCACACAATGAATCCAGCACCCCCAATGTATACAGTCAGGTAGTCTGATCTTGGTTAGATTAAATTTAGGTTGCTGTTGGCTGAAGAGGCGATGGACTGCAGACTGGAAAGGCACAGTGGGGAATCAGTTGAAAGCAGTGCTTTGTTCTGGAGGTAAGAGCAACAGCTCATTTATATCTCCGATCCCGTAATAATGTGTTGCCGAGGGTGGGAGTCAAATTGTAGACGTGCTGAAACATCATAGTTGATTTGTTATGTGTGTAATCAACAAGTAAGGCTGTAGGCGCATAATGAACGGTTTAGTGGGACAGAACACGGGAATAGGAACCACCGACCCCCCCCCCCCCCTTATTCGGGGGACATCTCACTGATTTCCAGGAAGATTAGAGTTAGTGTTGAGGTTAGGATTAGGGTTAGAACACGGGCATACTAACCCTCCCTGGTATTTTGCGCAAAGCCACCTGTACTATCTAGGGTAGTTCCCATTACCGTGTTTTACCTCTAGTGGTACAAGCACTGCATTGTTACGAAATCGACAGTCGTTAGTTTCCAGGTGGCTCTTTAAACGTTCTACAAACTGGCCAAACCCGACGTGGCTGTACCCATTATGTGCGAGGTGACAACTACGGACGCCTCCGAACTGCTGACTAATCCCACTGATTCATTTCGCGAGCCGAATCTACACTGCACATTCTTTCTTTGATATGAAAGCCTACTCTAAACAGTATTGCCGAGGCTTCAAAGATGGGAATTAAATTGTACTCTTAATCAGCGTAAGATGGAATTTTGTTGAACGGTTTATCTGCCTAGTTGCTACGGGGAAAAGAGTTTGGAGCATTTGGTCAGAACTTTCTGTCTTTGGGCATATTACTGCCCCAAAGGTCCTGCCTGTAAATAGTTTCCCATCGCCCCGGGAACCAGGCAATAATCGGGGTCAGTGCGCTCTTTACTGCTCCTCGTAGAGGTACTGTTGGTCGGTCCGAGACTATCTTGAGCAACTTTGCGAGGGTTCGATCGTCGACAGCGACGACACCCACTTCTGTCCCGGGAGATAGCTCTGGAAGTGGTAAACCCATTATTTGGGCACAATGAGTAGGCTATCCAAGAAACGAAGATGCCAGTATCCCAACAGTTACCAACTAGTAAATAAGAACAAAGTCGTCAGCAGGTAAAAATGCACGCGCTAGTTCTTTGTCTCATTCAAAGTTGTGTCAAGTTCTTTAAAAAGCGTATTGTAGCTGATTAAAACAAAACGGACTTAAATGCCACGACAGCTCCAACAGCGATAAGGTGTGGGTAAATTAGCCTATATTTAAATAGACTTTCGTGGTATCCAACGCAATCCCTCCTTCCTCATCAACCGTGAACTAATGGCAGGACTAAGTCGAGGCGATGGAAGTGGGCATGGGCGCAGTGGTTGGCAATGGCAAACAACCCGTCTACGAGTGCCACTCACGACCGGTCCGCCTGCGTCATCCGGTCTATCATCAGGAAAATAAGTGGTGCGAGTGTGACGGTTATCGGCCCCTGTCCTGATTACAGGGCAGGGACGGGCGCTAGGTTTCATCCTGGGACTCCGGTCTAGAACCGTTGTTTGTGGCCGGATTGCGAAAACAATTACTGTCAATAGTATGACATTAAACAGGCGTTACGCCGCGGAACACAGGCGAAGGTGTCCAGGGCATCCACCCAGATTAGGTCCCCGACCGACTATCTCGAATCTTCAAAACACTACTAGATAATAAGTTTTCCTACCACAGCTAGTAAACTCCGCTTCTTACAAGGCTCCCCTTTGTCCGAATCGAAAACAATACAGGTAAAAAGTGAGGAGGGCGTACCTTGAGAATCTGCTCCTGCAGGCGGTCAACCTCGACGTTGGACTCGTCGAGTTGCGCACCCAACTTGGCACGCTCTTCGTCCCAAAGACCTGCTTGGGCTTTAGTACTGGAGTTCACATCTTTCAGTCGAGCTCGCAATTCCTCGAGCTCTACCTTGAGGCCGCCGATTTCAGACGAGGCACCGGACAAAATCCTCCTAGCTTCCGTCAGCAGCTGAAGGTGTAAGAGGCAGAAGAAATGAGTCAAGAAGTGAGTAATCAGAAACTGAAAAGAATGAAACCAGATTACTTTGTGGTTAGTTCTGCCCCTGTTATTGAGAGGACATTATAGGATGTCTATTCGACTATTGCGAACGACGACGTCCACCGTGTGCCCTAAAACATGGCTGCAACCTGCGCGTGATGGTGGGCTTGCGCAACATCTGCAACACTCTTCTCCCTAACCCTCCCGAGCCTGGTGGGAAGGCAGAGTCAGAACGACTGGAGATGGGGTCGGGCGCGGTGGCTGGCAATGCTAAACAACCCGTGTACGCGTGCCACGCACGACCTGATTTCCACTCCATACGCACCGGGCGACAAAAAGGGTGTGTTGGATCTCACATACGTTAGAGTGCCATAGTGCCCATGTCTAGAAGGAACTATTGCATTCCGACGCCCAGTAGCGAGAAGGTTCGAGTTACCCCATCGAGTGGCATCCTTCCAAGTCTCGACTCTCAACGCATTGAGGAATGCGATGATGTGTCCTGAGGATGAAGTTCCCAGTACCGACGCCACATCCTGTTGCTGTCTCCACTAACCAGTCCACCGTCACTCGGTCGATTAAAAAGGTTGTGCGCAATGCCTGACGAGGCGCGAAGGCCAAAGGCTACAGCGGACAGCGCGCGCGCGTACGACCCGCGTAGATTCAGCACAGGCCAATAAATGTGTCCCCTGAGCCAGCTTGCCCCCCCCCCCCTACTCTGGTTCAACGCATCTGCAGCTCAGTCCGCCCGCGGAGGGGACTGTGCTGCCAAAGCATGTAATTTAAAGACAATTTACGCACCCATGAGCAGCCTGACCCTGCGTATCAACTTTTGCATTCACAGTGGTCAAACTGGGCGAAGGATTCTGTCACGGCTATGCAAACAAAACCTTTTGAAGAGAGTGGCTGATTTAGTAGCTCAAACTGACGCCCGGAGGCTGGAAATATATGGTTTGTTCAAAATTCGAGCACGAAAATAATTATGCTGAGCCGCCACAGGGTTGGTTTGCGGCCGGACCCTTTGAGACACAAATTTCGAACTCCCGCTACCATACCAAATTTCTAGACCACACTCGTTAAATCTAAAACCTGCTGCTAAATGTTTTAGACGGGCCCCCAGGTGTTTTCTAGATGCATATGTTTTCATTCATCCGATTGAATAGTCTATAAGAGCCCCAAGGCTCGGACAGATAGACTATCCGCCTCGGTGACCCTACAATACTCTTCAGCCGGGCTTGGTAACGTAGATTTCAGGCTCTGTCTACCTACTCCCCAGTTTATTTTAACTGAAGACAAATATATGCTTCATCCAATTCTATGCCGATTAGAGCGTTTCGTTTTCCAGTCCGTCTACAACAAAGTGGCCAGGAGGTCTAAGTCTCTTTTAAAATCCCTCAGTACCCTGGAAGTTGTGCCGTGGGAGAAGTAATTCATAAACGAGAGTCTGACGACTGTCACACGTGCGTTTCAAGAGTAAATAGATCCTCCCGCTTGATTTTGTTGTTTTCAAAGTGTCAATTCGTCGAGGAAAATCCAGAGCACACACATACTTCTGGGAGTTGACGATCGATAATTTGGTCAGTGGGGTGGAGAGGCCACCTTGATAATTTAACTCGACGGTTGTATGTAGCTGTCTACGGTCAACCATGTTTAGGTATCAGCTCAGACATGTACATTTGCGGGAGAGTTTCGATTGACTCCACTCGATCCTGTAAAACGTGGAGAAGGAGGTGGTGACATGGGATCGGGCAAGGACACAGTATGCGACCCCGCTCAGGGAACAAAACCAAGTCATTGTGGCGCCGCGTATTCCCCCTTTTTTCATAAAATTGAAGCTTCCATACTCTCGTATCCATACATCTACTTCTTTTGTGAAAACGAAGTGGAATAAATGCGAAAAGTTCTCGACTTTTGTCCGCACTGTCTGACATCTTGATATCCTCATCCTTCCCCTGTGATCGGATTCCTGGTACGTGTGCTCTTTTGCAAGCAGCTGTAGAGAAATTTAGCGCGGGGACACAATATGCCACCTCAACATTTATTTGAATGTTTGCCTACTATCGCGCTCTCTTTTCCGTCGTTTAGCCCCACATGATGACCTGGTTTTTGTTCCCTGAGTGGGGTCGTATACTGCGTCCTTGGCCATGACCGCTCTAATCCTCCCAGTACTTGCTATCCTCCAGTCAGTTTACTGCACGCGCAGTCATGCCGGCTCACCACACAGTTCGGGCCAGCAATTCGTATCCGACTTCTTCCATTTATTCACGGCCAGTACAGTGACTGCTAAGCAAATACCAATGCGCAGTCAGCCAAATCTGCCGGCCTTGTCGCATAACTTACGGCCGGACAGTCACGCCTACCTTCTAATTTCTCCTCAAATGCAGTTGATTCGCATTAGTGTGGCCGGTTAGTTTGTGCAGCTGTCGCAGAATAGAAACAGTTCGTGTTCATGCCCCAGATGCCTGTCGCATATCAGGGTCACTGTTCCACTTGATTTGGACAGACAAGTGAAGGGGAGGTGGAGCGCGTGGCGACGGCGCCTGGTGGCGGGGGGGGGGGGCAGATGGGCAGGTAGGCCGCTGATCGGTAATTTGGCCTTCGCGATTGCCTCCAGACGCCATTGGTCTTCCTGGTGGCATAGTCACACTGTTCGCTGGCAAGATTACCCTGCTGATCCAACTAAGAAGGCATAAGTCCCTTACGTGTGTGAATAATATTTTTTAGTATTTCGATGGGCATAATGAGTGTAAGGACGTGACCATTACGGAAACTTCATCAAAGACGCACAGCTGATCAGTGAATCACCTGAAGAAGCAAGTTTTGCCAAAAATGCCAGGAGACGGGGTGCTCGAACGTAGTCCTACTTTATGCAGCGAGGCAGCAAAAGATGTCGTTCATATGAACAAGGCGTAGGCGTGGGTTTCGGTTGGCGGTGACCTGTGAAACGAAAGCAGTAAGATACATTTGCTATTCTTATGCCATCAATGACTATTCATGTGATTTCTGCATAACAGATGCGTACATTTGCACTGAAATACGACTGTTTGCAGCGGATATCATCAGGGATCTAATTAGCTGCATCCATAGTCACTAAACTGTGGTTGACCAAGGTTAGCTCCGGCCAGAACTTCCGGCACTGAGCATCTAAAGAGATCGGGACGATGCGAAAGGGTCACACACTCAGACACCACCTAAAACTATAGAGACAGTTACTTAAAAAATGAGACGTGAGTGCAAACGCATACATGCACGGAATGGCTCAGCTGAAACGTCGTCTGAATCCTTCATATCAAGTAATGGCAGAGTAACGTTGTTTTGCATGCATGCCGAATGGTAAACAGGTGGTACAAAGCGAGTAGGTTTGGGTGCGTGGAAATGCTGCCACGAAAATCAACTTGTTTTGGGTCAATCATTTCTCTCCTCCTCCTCCTCCTCCTCCTCCTTCTCCCCTCCGCTCCACCTCGCAGGCTGCTAGGGTGAGTCCGATCACTCTGGCAGCCTGGAATGTTCCTTCCCTTTTAGATAACCCCAGGAGCAACCGACCGAAATGGAGGACGGCGCTAGTCGCTCGGGAACTGGCGAACTATAAGGTGGACATCACTGCACTTAGTGAGACCCGTTCCTTCGAACAAGGCCAACCGGAAAGTGGGTGTCGGCTACGCCTTCATCTGGAGCGGTCGCCCCATGTTGCGGGCGTCGCATTTGATATTCAGAAGGACACTGTGGGACTATTGCCCTGTCTGCCACTTGGCATCAACGATCACCTAATGAGCTTCCGCCTGCCTCTCCGGCGAGGCAAATTCGACACCATCCTCAGCGTCTACGTCCCCCCGATGACCCCCCGTCCCCCCGATGACAGATTATACCCCACTCACCCATTGCATTTTAGCAATAAACCGACCCAGCTGCTCAGTCTAAAGGGGGATCTCATTTCGTACAAGACACACCACACGGTATTCCAGTCAGTCCCCAATTGCTTGGCACATGAATGTCTAGTCAGTTGTCGGCTACTTTTTCCTAGGAAACCAGCAGCGCACAAGGCATCTGTTTGTTTTCAGTACACTCAATTAACGTTTTTTATCGCTTCACGTGAATTCTTAGTATCCTCATTTTTTTTTCTCACGCTTTGCTGACGACTTCTAACGCCGTTCACATACGCCGGCGTCCCGTACGATCGCTTCACAGACATTAATCGCAAAATATTTCACACGGGCGCGTGTGCATTTCTGATTGGAGCACTAATTTAGCCCTGACCTTGTACTCGCGTACGCGTAAGAAAGAGGGCATGTAGCTTACCTGAACCACGAACGTTATAATGGTCAATATGCCGTTCCGTTGCCTACTTGTGACCGTTCAGAAATCCTAATCGGCAAACGCGCGCCATGCCGGTGTGTTCTGGGCGATATCCTCCCAGATCTCCGGGTTGATCTGCAGCTGTTTCAGTGTCCTTGTAACGCCATATTTTCGTCCTTGTCGACGAGAACAGGTGTTGATATCCTCAAAGAAGAGTTGTTTCAGTAGACATGTGTCTTCCAGCCGCACAAGATGGCCACTCTTGACATGGTTGGAGTAGACAGTTCAGGTCTCTGCTTCGTAGTGAAGTGTCGTCAGAATGACGGCCTTGTACATCTTCAGTTTGGTATTCAGTTGTAGGCGGTGCCTATTCCACACGGAGTACTGCAGCCGGCCGAAGGCTCGGCCGGCTTTGACGATTCCGTGGGCTACTTCGCCGTCGACCCTTGTGCTGCTGGAAAGCGTGCTTCCGAGATCAGCAAAATTTTTTACGGTTTTAGGTTGGCTGCCGTCGACCGAGATCAGAGGAGTGTAGTGTTGCGTGTTGGGTGATGTTTCGTGCATGACCATCGCTTTGTCCGCGTTGATAGTCAGACCGAAGTTGGCGTACCCGGTCGCGAGGAGGTCCATCCACCGTTGCATGACCACGTCGGACGTACTGTTGAGTGCGCAGTCATCAGCGAAGAGCAGATCATGGGCCGTGGCTGAAGATCGCCACGTTCGATTCCGCATGCGCCTGCTGTTGAGAGGATGCTCGTCTTTTCCGTATACGATGCGTATGCCGGGCCATTCATCACGGTAGGCACCCATCAGTATGGCAGTGAACATGAGACTGAAGGGGGTAAGCGCGAAATGCAGCCCTGCATCATCCCATTGGTCACCGCGAATGCCTCGGAGATTGTACCGTTGTCCAGGACGCGTAACATCATCTCGTCGCGCGGCTAAATTACCACGTGCGTGAATTGTTTAGGACAACCAAATTTCCGCGTGGTTTTCCACAGTCCCTCGCGATTTACCATATGGAAGGTATTCGTCGACTGCATGAATTTGGTGTAGAGGTGGGTTCGCATCTCCTGGCACTTATCTTGCAGCTGACGAGCGCAAACACCATGTCAGTGATGCCCCGGTGTCGTCGGAAGTCACAATGACTCTCTGGCAAGAGTCCATTTTCGAGGTGTCCGTTGAGGCGATCGAGGAGGATGTGGGCGAAGATCTTCCCGGCGATATTAAGCAGTGTGATACCCCTGTGATTGCTAAGATTTGCCGACTCCCTGTACGCTCGTAGAGGTAGACAATGGTTGCGTCCTTGAAATCCTGAGGAACTTGTCCCCAGTGCTACATCTCCTGAAATAACATCATGAGTTGGTCCATCAGGCAGTGGCCGTCGTGTTTGTAGATTTCGGAGCCTAGTGCTTTTCCCCTAGAGAGCTGCTGCGCAGCACGAATCGTTTCTGGAAGGGAGGGTGAGAGGTCCAGGCCGATGATGATTTCCACTTGGGTGAGGTGGTCGATGGCGACGTCGGTGATTGCGAGGGACGGTCAAGGACGTTTTTAAAATGTTGGGACAAACGTTTCAGAAAATGCGACGTCTTCGCCAAAAGGGCTGATCCATCAGAGCTGTGAGGTGGCGCAGTTCCTTTGGTCGGGGGGAGGCGTAGATCGTTTTGCTCGCAGCGAAGAAATTCTTCCACTCATTACGGTCGGCGTATCTCTAGATCTCCTCAGCCCTGCGAACCATCATCGAGTTCTGCATCTCTCACAACCCTCGCTGACGAAGGCGGCGACATCGGTAGAAGGCCGCTTTGCTCCCACTGGTTAAATGGTCGAGGTAGGTCATGTGCAAAATGTTCTTCGCGGCCAACAGGGTACTGATGGCGATGCCATTGTCCTAGAGCCATTCATGGTGTCGGTGACGTGTGCGGACGCGGACAGCTAAAGCGGTCGCGTGACTGGCGCCCCGAAGTCGACATCAGATTACAGGTCGTCCAGCGGCTGGGTCGGTTTATTGCTAAAATGCAATGGGTGAGTAGGGTATAATCTGTCTTTTGCCGCGTCAGAGCTGGTCATCGGGGGGACGTAGACGCTGAGGATGGTGTCGAATTTGCCTCGCCGGAGAGGCAGGCGGAGGCTCATCAGGCGATCGTTGATGCCCTGTGGTAGACTGGGCAATAGTCCCACAATGTCATTCTGACTGTAAAATGCGACGTTCGCGTCAAGTTGCTCTGCCCTGAGGCGACCGCTCCATATGAAGGCGTAACCGACACCCACCTCTTCCAGTTAGCCTTGATCGAAGGAACGGGTCTCACTATGTGCATTGATGTTCACCTTTTAGTGCGTCAGTCCCCGAGTGACTAGTGCCGTCCTCCATTTCGGTCGGTTGGTCCTGGGGAACGAACATTCCAGGCTGCCAGAGTGATCGGACTGATTCTAGCAGCCTGCGGAGGGGGGAGGGGCGGAGGGGAGGAGGAGGAGGAAGAGGAGGTGGAGAGAGAAAGGATTGTTTCTGTTTTGATGATTTTTACTGCATGTATGGCAGTCTGCTAGCCGCGGTCTGCGCGCGCTTTATTTAGGGCCTCTTTTATAGCCCCCTTCCCCTCGCGGAGAAAGCAGTGCTCTCCCTGAATAGGTCTGCTTTGTCGCACCCGATGGATGCCGCTCGCAAAGATGGATTTAGTGAGAGAACAAGTGGCCTGGGACGCCTACATGATCACATGTCGTCCTCGCCGTAGGACTTCCGACCGTGGGATAAAACAGCGAATTAGAATAGGAAGCGAGGGCTGGAGGGCGAGGACGCAGATGGCGCGAAGCAGTGGAATGGGCAGGCATTCCAGCCACTGGGTCAGTAGCTTGATGAGTGCTGAAAATGCAAGCGAGAGCCGGCAAAGACAACCAAGCGGTATTCAGCCTACCTGGGGGATCACTTACCTTGTGGCCTCCTGCGAAGTCTCAGACGGAACCTCACATTGGAAATGGCGGTACGAAAATCGATCCGGCCAGCGGTGGTGGGAGAGGGCAGAATTATCGTGTGTGTGGAGATACAGTCTCGGATACCCTCACCTGGTTTTGCCCGCCGGTTGAGGCGGTTATCACATGTGGCCGCTAGGCAGAACCTAGCTCCTGGAAGTCATATTTGAGAGTTGGGTGCAAGGTAATGGACACTAGGTGCAATCAACACCTGCAAGCAAGTGAGCGATCTATTACGACCGTCACGTGGACCCACAACTGGACACCCCTGCAACTCGCGCTCGCACATACATACACGCACACACTTTACGCGCCACTAGACGGTAGACGGACACGCACATGGACAAATTTTGGACCAGGGCAGAAAGTGAGTGACACGAACATGTGTCGGAAATGAAGAGTGGGTCAGCTACCGAGTGACTCAGAAGGGAACGTGGTTCCAGTACTAATTTCTGGTTCAGCCCACTGGTTCAACATTTCCAACCACCGTCTTGACCAGCAACTAAGTTTAATTTCCTCGATACCGCTCTATTCGAAATGACTTTAAAAAGAGGCTGCTCTTAAACAGAATTAAAAACGACAGGCCGTGCTCTTGGGGGTGGAGGAAGGAATTGGTTTTGGTTACTAGGTGAAAAGCGGAAGTAGATGATTGAAAACGCGCCTATTTTTATCGAGCTACAAAAGTGACATCTTGCATAAAAGTTTGTGCGATATTATTTGTTAATTTTGAGACCGATGACTGCAAATGAGGTGTTCTAAGTAGCCCTACATAAGATTCCTAGAGTTGAAGTACTCGCCCTAAAATCTTGAATCTGGAAGGAAAACACCGGCATTTAAAACTTCCGGATAAACAGGGGTTCAGCCATAATTAACATTCGTCTTTTAAAGTTTTGTCTGTTCGTTTGTTTTGTGTGCCAACACGTATGTTTATAACTGATGCAATAGTGCAGTAAGGAATTTAAGCGGGGTTAAAATTCAACCCTAATGATTTTCGTTATTACTACCGCGGGTCCCGATTTGCTAAGATGTGGTTTGGTAGCCTCACCTGATGGACACAACACAGTTTGGGTTGGGGCGATGGGTTAGGGTTAGGGGTTATGGTTAAGGGTGAGGGGTTAGGGTTTAGGATTAGGGGTGATAATTAGGGATTATGGTTTGGCATAGGGGTTAGCACAACTATTTCTCAACCGTTCAAAGTACAACCACGAATTCCCAATAGCTCTTCTCTTGGGTAAGATGTGGTTTGTTATTCCCACCTGATGGACACAATACGGCAGAGGTTGGGGTAAGGGTTAGGGGTTGGGGTTTAAGAGCAGGGGTTATAGTTAGGGGTTAGCGCAATTATTTCTCAACCATTGAAAGTACAACCACTCACTCCCAATAGCTCTTCTTTTGCATACAACTACTTGACCTCGTCGTCTGTGCGTTCCCCGCACCCACCTGTAAAACCCCCTGTTACCACGCGTCCCGTATTAGAGGTGACTGAGGTTTGTTTACTTCAGTTGGGGCTACATAACCCCATCCGACCCCCAATTTATGTAAAGTTGGTTTTCAGGTTTTATTAACACACCTCAGTAACAGACTTATCGAGCTTATTCAGGTGCTTGAACTGAATTTTAATTGATCGAATACTTTTTGAAAAGACCAGATGGAACGATTATAAGTAGCCCCAGACAAACTTCCCGCAGAACAAAAAGGCAATGACTGTTTTGTTTCATAATCCAAAACGCCGCAAACTGTGGTTAGCCTAAGAACCTGCTCCACTAGCATACTGTTTTTGTGAGCGCATTTTACAATTCTTTGTCACATATGGCATACGCAAGCCTTGAAAGTCATGTGCATTAGGCGTTTATACCTATTGTACACATGTTTCAATCGCGCCTGAAGTATCTGAGTCAGTGAGTGCTGTTGGAATCCCACTATACCCCCTTTCCTTTTGTCACTTGCTAGTGGTGTTCATCAGTCGGTCCCGATTGAAGGGCGGAGTGTGGGCGTCCGCTTTGCCTATGAGTTTGGATGTGAAACGTCCGCAGGCCTGGATCAGTCGGGCCTGTGGTTGATTTAGGGCGGGTTGGAGACGGAAGATAAATTGGCAGTGACTATTCTACTCGGCATTGTTTTGTGGGTAATACTTATCGGCAGGATGTGGTTTGGTAGCCCCACCTGATGGACATAATGCTGTTGTGGTTGGGGTTAATGATTAGGGGTTAGGGTTAGGACTTATGGCTAGGGGCTATGATGAGGGGTTATGGCTAGGCGTTAGGCTTAGGGTTAGGATTAAAGGTTAGGGTGAGGGGTTCGGGTTTAGGATTAGGGGTTATAGTTAGGGGCTAGGGTTAGGGGCAGCGGCCGGGTGAAGGACCCCCAAACACACACGACCAGCCAAAGGTGCCTGTCTTACGGGGAAGGTGGTACCAGGGCTTTTACGGGCGGGGCCCATGTATGCATAGAGGAATGGCAGAATAAATATCGATAATTGGTCAATTCGTTTTTCGGGCGGGAAGGTTTTAATGCATTGGCATATAGCAACCGAAATTAAGCAGGACGATTAAAGAAATAAACATCAAGTGTCTACAACGATCGCCTAGCAACTCTCTAGTCTGAGTTAATTGTAAATAATGCACTAGACCGTCTACAACAGACGACCCATCCTTGAACGATGAAACGCCAAACCGGAATAATCGTGTCGGACTAAAACCCACTAAACCAAGTATAGTAGATATTTTTTTGTATGCCACAGATGCTCGGGGTCCTTCTCCCAATCCTTACCCCAGTAGCTTTTCTTTTGCATAAAACTACTTGAACTCGTCGCCTGTGCGTTCCCCGGTTACACCTGTAAAACCCCCTATTACCACCGGTCCGTA